GCCATCAGTGGCTTTCCCCCCTAACCATAACTGCCTTGTGGAGGGGAGCGTTGTGAGGGGGCATGGTATACAGGAATGGAATGGGTAATTCTTCTCAGCTATGTTCTCTCAGGAATCCCCTCCCATATAGCCCCTATATTAAAAAAAAAAAAAAAACCCAAAACCTCCCATTGGCTCCAATGGAAAAACACCTTTTCTAGGCTTATCATACAAAGGGTAAAGATTGGAGACATAGCAATAGCAACCTGGCTAACACTTTTCTTTCCAGCAGCAACCCTTCTTGAGGATTGGCCCCACAAGGCAATCGAGGTGACTGGGGGAATATCTTTCCATTAGCACCAATGGACATGCAGAACTTTGGAGAAGACATCCCAGGCTGTTAGGAATCAATTCAGAGCCATGTGGACCCATAGACCCATCTTTGTTTCTTGAGATGGGACAACCAGAGTTGTACAAAATGTCTCAAATATGACAGTACTATAGATTTGCATTAGCAAACTCCAGTAGTACGCATTTACCAGAGATCTTTTGCACAAAATTTGCCTTTTCCATAGCTATGGTGCACAGTGTTTTCACTGAGTCTTCCCTTAGAACTTCAAGGCCAAGATTGCTTTGCAGATTTCTCACTGCCAGTTTAGACATCAGTGTATGTGTGAATTTAGGATTAATATTATTATTTTTTTGCTGCAATGTACACTTTACATCTAATATGCCAGTACAGGCACAATATCTGTCATGATTAGACAGAAAGAAGCTTACAATTCTCAGCATGCCCCAGATGCAAAAGTAAAAGTTATCTATACCCCATTCTCTCTTGCTGAAAACTGATGCTAGTTATTTATCCCAAGATAAATAGCAGAATGAATGAGGTGCGCCTCATTTTATCCTAGATTTCATGGGCTGGTGCAAGTAGAGAGAAGCAACGATCCAAGGGAATCAGGAGTCTCGCGGCATGCCGAAAGCCCCCTAGAGGTGCCACTGCGCCACTGCAACACCTTATCTCCCGCTGTTCGCTTTCTTCTTTTACTTTTCAGTCTCCATTTCTTGACGTTAATAATATTAATATCCCGTCTCTCTGTCTCTCTGATTCGCTTATTTTCTCTGTTCAACAATGTCGTGCGCCTAACCATGATACTGGGTCCCCTTTGACATGACTCACAAGACAAGTAGTGGTCAAGTGTGGGTTTTGCTTTGCCTGAATAAAATGGCAGATCTTCACTACTGCTTTTCGGCACTGCGAACAAAACGAAGGCCATTGGAAGGAATCTATTCTTTCTTTGATATGAAAAGATCCCTCTTAAGCATATGAAAAAGTCAGAAGACACCCTGGGAATGATAAGCACCTAATGACTTCTTTTTGGCTGTCTATGTCAACGTTTTATTAAAATATTGTTGGCTGTGTTATAAACCCCTAGTGGTCCTCTCCCTTTAGCTCCCCCCCCCATTTACACCCCCCCCAACACATGATTATATATCCTAATGATTTTTTAATTTGAAGGCCCAGTCCTTCCTATCTCAAAGTCTCACAGCTGGTCACAATATATTAACCTGGTCTCTTCCTCTGCCTTTGGATATTCCATGAGGCTTGAAATAGGAAGGGCTGGACATTCAAATCAAGAACCTATCAGTTGTTTATTGTTCACAAGATGTCATTTTGCTACGTGTGCACACATCAATATATATGCTATAGGCTGGACCCACTGGGATATCCATAGGATACCAGACAATGATGACTAACAATTCCCACGGATTCCAATAGTTTTCTCTTACCCTTCCAACCTTCTGTTACTAGATGTGAACCCAATCCTGTCTGTCTGTTTCTCTGTCTCTATATCTCATATTGCTGCCAAGACTGGAAATCCCCATGGCTGTCCTATCACGCCTTGGTCTCTTTGGTCCTATCTCAGTCCAGTCGCTTTTCTGCCCTGTCTGGTGAAGGGCTGCCCTTTCTTGCATACTAGAAGACAAAAGGACTAAGCAGAGGAGTGGAGGAGTTTTTTTCCTTCCAAAGCAAGGCAGTTGGGCAGAAAGTTGACAACTCCCCCCCTTCTCTGCACTTCCAGATGATGTCCAAGAAGGAGCAGGGCAAAGCTTAAGGAGGGGGAGTGGGGGGTGGGGTGGATGGGCCAACCTTCCCCCCCATTAAGTTAAGCTTCCTGCTACTGACCCTAAACATACACATACACAGATCCCCTCAGGGCTGCGAGGTATTGGAGCTATGTGCAGAAATATGAGTGAGTAATTTTATAAGTAACAAAGGATCAGGCCTGGCATGAGAGCCCACTGTTATCCAATGTCAGGGCGAAGGCCTGGCTCAGCAACTTGGATGAGCTGGCGAGTGAATGCAAGAAGAGCCCCCTTTCCCTTTTCCCAGGGGTATCAGCTAAATATAGACTGGCTTCAGCGTATTTTGCACAAACCAGTGGACCATTTGCTGTTTGTGTAAAAACTGATTAACCAGACACAACTGTGAAACAACTTGTGACTTTAATAGCGCCAGTAGCAGTAGCGGCTCGCTAGCAAATTTAGATCCGTTTTGCTTCCCTTGTAAAAAGAGATTTGGGAAAGGGGGAGGGAAGGAAGAAAAGAAAGACGTCTGAATTGGGAAGGGGTGTGTGAAAGCATTGGATTCATGTAGGGATCTGCTTGAAAAACGGCTGATACATAATCGCTGCCTTGGATGAGGTGCCTGTTTGCCTCAGAGTGTCAAATGATTAGCAGGTCCTTATTTATAAAGTTCAAGTGCTCCCTTCTCACCACCACCAGGCAGCTCACTTTATTTTCGTCCACATATCCAGAGGTACAAATGTTTACTTAGGGTGGAATAATATTTATGGTTTATCTGGAGAACATATTGTGTGCTCAGTCCAGGATCCCTCCTTCAAGGCAAATGCCAGCCATTATCCAGTTCTCACACCAAGGCAAGGAGACAAGGCCTGATTCCTTAGCAGAGGTTTTCAAGAGGGAACTTCTGAATAGGATGAAATCCAGCCTTTCCTAGACTAGCCAGTCTATCATCATCATCATCATCATCAAAATAGAGGAGGTGGGATTTTATATATAATAATACATATTTAGTGTTTTTTTTAAATTTACATCACTTAATTTTAAAACAATTTTAAATGATCCTCATTCTTTGATGCCTTGGTCTCCCAATGATGATGATGATGCAGAATGACAATAAACTTATTCTGAAACAGTTACCACATCTTAGGGAGGAATCTGCATTTTCACAGAGTCCATGCAAGAGAACCCATTGACTGAACAAGTTCTTCATTGCTCTGATTCTTGTGGGTCCTTCAGGATTTCAAAAACATGACCAGAATATCCCATTTCTCTTAGATAGAAGGCAGAGATTCTTTTACAAGAGAAAATATGTTTGACACAAAAATATAGGTAGAGAAAGGCATGATGACATTTCCTACATAAAACTTTTTTTAAAACATGACTTTCCCTTCCTCAGCATCTGGTTGCTTGGTGCCACTTAGGAGTGGCCTCCCACCCAATGACTCTCATCATGTCAAATTCTTAGTTGTGTGGCCCTTTTTCTGTGCATTTTGAAAGAAATTCATTACCAGTCTTCTGTAACTTCAAGTTAGAGACCATTAAAAACATCGCTAGAAAAAAGAAGCAGCTTAAGGACATCTAACTCAGAATCCTGACCTATTCCAAGCTTGTCTAAAGGCAATAAGGAAACACACTATTAGGAAAAGAATCTAGGTGGAGAATAAAAATTTAGTGCTTATTGATGGTGATGGTAGGGATGGAAACATTTTGATTGCACCAAATACGACACCCCTCCACTAGAATGGGTTTCTTGCCTTCATCACAATGGCGATAATCTGGCCTCAACAATAACCCGACGAACATGTGCCTTTATTAGGGAAGTTTTGATACCTTAAAATCTCTTTAATACTTAAAAAGTGCCTCCATTAATTAAACTCACACTGGGAAATTTTCAAGTATTTAAGGAGACTGTCTTTATATATTAGAAAATTTAATCTTGAGGACAGTCCTTCTAGTGGTAATTGTGAGACTGTCATTCACTTATTACATTTCAGGCATTGGAATGTTAGATCCGCTTTCTTGCAAAAATATATTTCCTGGTACCGACATCCGGGTCCAGGTAAATACCACTGATTTTAAAGAGAAGCTACCCTCCGTTAACTCTACCTGATTAGAGAAATCAGTATCGCTTCCCTTTGTCTGTACCATTATTTAATACGATCCCATCATTAGCAAGTAGACACCCAAAATACCATTTTAAAAATTTATTTACAAAGCTGTGTACAACACGAAGGAATAACATTTAGAATACATATATTCATTCATATATAAACAGACTTCTATAATAGAATGACAGGGGAACCCTTTTTTCTTTTCTTTTTTGCTTGATTCTTTCTTAATTTTTCATATTTAAACTATCTTCCCTCATCGCTCAGGTGTCCGTTTTGGATTTTATTTCGAAGATAAAGGTAGCGAGGAAATAAGAACCTTCAGCAAAAGTGAAAGCTCGGGGTTTCTGATCCTTACCCTTTCTTTCTTTCTTTCTTTCTTTCTTTTTTTTTTCTTTTTAAATTTTTCTTCAAATGTGGGCCGTTTTAAAAAAATAAAAACTGCAAAGGAACGCCGATCCTCCCCCCACCCAATTACAAATATGTACAAATCTGTTGCCGTGAGTGGAGTATTAGGTTTACCTGTACAGACAGACAGCATTCCGTTTTTTGCTTTGTTTTGCTTTGTTTGGGACCTGTGCGCTCGTGTGACAGTTTTTGGGCTTAGAAGAAGCATCCTTTGGCTGCGGCCGTCCAGAGCCGAGCCGAGGGTTTGGTGCGAACGTCAGCGACCGCAAGCGAAGAAGTCCGTCTGGATCGCGGTCGCTGTAGATGCCGGGAGCCTCCGGTGTCCCGAGGGACGGGCAGGAACCCGTCGCGGTGGTTTCTCGGCGACGCCAGCCCTTTAGCGAAGGAGGGGCGAGCCCTGACCCGGCCGCGCCGGCCCTATTGCGCCGGCCACTTGGCCTGGACCGGCGCGGCCGAGGCGGCGGGCTGCAAGAACTGTCCCGAGATCATGTTCGTAGGCACGCTGAGGATCGGCGCGATGGCCGCCGTGCTCCGGGCCAGGGAGAGCGGCTGGTGCGCCAGCAGGCCCGACTGCACGGTGACGGGCGGCCGCAGGAACGCCTGCGCGCCCGACGAGCTGGCGGCCGGCCCGCCGCCGCCGCCGCCGCCGCCGCCGATAATGTTCTCGATGCTGAAGGAGGGCCGGCTGCTGGGCTCGGCCTTGACGGCGCCCGAGCCGCCCGCCGCCGCGCCGCCCAGGCCGCTGAGCTGCAGCTGCAGGCCGGGGCTGAGCTGCGCGTTGAAGGCTTTGCGGCTCAGCTCGCTGGACGGCAGCAGCGGCACGGCGGGCGGCAGCATGGGCCCCACCGGCGGGATGTAGGGGTACTGCAGGGCGGCGGCGGCGGCGGCTGGGTGCGGGTAGGCGCCGTGCGGCAGCCCATAGGCGCGCCCGTACGGGCCCGCGGAGGAGGCGGCGGCGGAGGCGGCGGCCGCGGCGGCCGCGGCCAGGCTGTAGGCGCCGAAGCTGTGCATCATGAGCGCCGTCTGCTCGCGCAGCTGCTCCTGCTGGTGCCGCTTGAAGCGCTTCCTGCGCCGCAGGAACGAGCCGTTGTCGAACATGTCCTCGGACTGCGGGTCCAGCGTCCAGTAGTTGCCCTTGCCCGGGTTGCCCGGCTCGCGCGGGATCTTGACGAAGCAGTCGTTGAGCGACAGGTTGTGGCGGATGGAGTTCTGCCAGGCCGGGAACTTCTCCCGGTAGTAGGGGAAGCGGTTGCTGATGAACTCGCAGATGCCGCTCAGCGTCAGCTTCTTCTGCGGGCTCTGCAGGATGGCCATGGTGATGAGCGCGATGTACGAGTAGGGCGGCTTCACCAGGCTGCTCTTGGGCTTGCCGCCACTGGAGGCAGCAGCCGCCGCCGCCGCCGCCGCCACGGCCCCGGACGGCGCGCCCGCCGCCGCCGCCGCCGAGCCCTCCTCGCCGCCCTTCTCGTCGACGACCGGGCTGCCGCTGCCCGAGCTCGTCGCCTCCGCCGCCTCTTTGTCCATCAGCAGCTCCGCCGCCTCGTCCAGGGAGAGCGGAACCGGCAGCCCCGCCGCCGAAGACGCCGAGGCGGCTGCCCCTGCGCTCGGGCTGCCGCCGCCGCCTTCAGCCTCGCTGCCCCCGCCCCGCTCCTCCAAGCAGTCGTCCCCCTCGCCCACCACGTCGATGTCCACATCTTCGGCCGTCAGCACCGTCTGGCCGGACATGTCGCTGGCGCTCAAGCTGCCCGACAGGGTCATCACAGCGCACGGGCGGGTGGGGTGCGAGGGCGAGGAGCAATGAATAATCTTAATAATAATGATCACGATAATGGTAATCTAAGAGTTCGGGAGAAGATAGGACCGGCGGGGGGAGGGGATCAGGAGACACTTGGGAGCAAATCCAATCCCCCTTCTTTCAAGGTCCTCTCCAACAGGTAGCGGGGCTGAGAGCAAAAAGGCTCCCCCTCCGTCCCCCTCCCCCTCCCCTCCTCCCCTCTTCTTCCTCTTCTAGTTAGCGGCCACGATGCCTTCTTCTCTCCCAGCTGGCATCTGGGGGCAGACCAAACTCCCCTCCCGCCTCAAGTCCGCGCTATCTGGCCGTCGGAATGGTCTCCCCGTCCAGTTTTCCGCGCAGATGGAGCTCGGCGTGCAGCAGGCTTTGCTGGGGATGATGGTGACGGTGCTGATGGCGAGGAGCGCGCTCTCTCTCGCCCCCCCCCCCACTCCCCGCACTTCACCGAAGGAGAAGCACCCCCCGCTACGACGGGGCGGCGAGGAGGCGGCGGAGGGAGAGGAATCAGCTCAGACTCCTGCTCCCATCGGGGTCGCTCAGCAGTCTGGCCGCGCGCGGGAGAGAGCTCGCCTCCAAGCGCCTGGAGCAGCGGCCGCTGGGCTTGACAGCGCGCTTTCCCGACCTGAGATCCGCTCCCAATTCATTCGAGCTGCTGCCGCCGCCGCCGCCGCCGCTACCGCCGCCGCCGCCGCCGCCGCAGGTTAGGTCTCTCTCGATTCGGTCTTTCCATCTTTTCTCTCGGAAACGCTGCCTTTTACTCCAGTCTTCCTTTCTCTTTGGGCCTCCTCTTTGCGGCCCCCACAAAACATACACCTCTCTTTCTTTCTTCTCCCCCCGTCCAGTTTTCTCCCCCCTTTCTCCTTTTTCTCTTCACGTGCCCCCCCCCCCGTTTTGCGCCCAGAAAGGAGGGGGTGGGGGGGAGGTAATGCCTTGCAGCCGAGAGAGAAAGAGAGGGCGGGCGAGCGGGCGGAGAATCTACGGGCGTTATAAGGAACTCGGCTGCCACTTTGAAAGTCCCTTTTTAAAAGGCTGCCTGATAGATTACTTTCCAGTTAAAGATATACTAGAAGGCGGGGCCACGTGACGGCCTGACGTCAGCGCCCCACTGGCAAGCCAGCAAAACTCAAGTTGTTTCATGGGATTGTCAACAGAAAGACAGCGGTGGCGCTTCCTCTTCTTGAGCATAGTCAAGTTATCAGTGGTTCAGCCCCTTCAGGGAGACTCCAAAAACAGGCCTGTCAGCCACGTGAAATCCTCTTTGCTTTTCGCTTTGCCTTGATGTTAAGCCACCCATATTACGAACTTCATTCTCTTACGAAGGAAGGGAACGCTGAAAAGTGGAGCGGCGATTTCGGAGCAGAGAAGCCATTCGATCTGTTAGAGCTTGGTTGCAAAGTGAGGAAATTCCCCGCGCATCTCCCCCCACAAAAAAACCAAAACCAAAGGTAGCTCGTTAGCTGTGCCAGACAGGCCAGAGCAGACGCTGAACCGTGGAGCCGCGGCTAGTGCAACCATCCTTGCAATCTCCGCGCGGGCCAAAGAGCAGCGCCGTGGAGTCCCCGCGCCCCCACTAGCAGGGTCTTTAAAACCGCAGCAATAAACTGGAGCAACTTTGGGAATGTGAAAATCGCTTTCCCATTCTTTCCTCCGCTCCCCCTCGCCTCCCAAACAACAGCATCAGCTGGGAACCGAAGATCAGCAAATGACTATTGATTAATCTATTAGGTCAGTTGCAGGGAGAAATAAAAGGAAAAGGAAAATACCCCCTCCCTAAAGTAGCTAGAAGAAGAAGAAGAAAAAAGACGGAGAGAAAAACCTTTCGCTGGTGGCATTATAATTATCGGTACTATTTTTGCAGCGATGTTAACGACATAATAATTCCGTATTACCATATTAAAAACTAGGAAATGGGGAAGGAGGCTGCTTGTGAAACATACTCTAATCGGAGAATGGGAAACGGGAGGGGCGAGTCAAAGTTTGTTGCAAATGTCGATTTCCTTTTCTTGTGTCAAGGGGGTCATTTCAATGAGAACAACTTCGGGCTGAGGTATGAAACGGCTCGCTCAGTGGGTGGTTTGATCTTGGTTTTCCTTGATTCATCCTGTCTATTGTTACACTGATCGCCTGTGATTTTGGAGGGACGCTGGCTAACAACATGACTGAGAAAGGAGGGATCCGTTACTTCTGAAAATCGGAAAGAATTACAAGCGAGAAAGCGTCCATCTCCGTCCTCGCTTTTTGTCCTGCCTCGCTTCCAAGAACGTTTGAAAGTAGACCGAATAATGCAAGCCACCTTTTTCACCCTCCTCCCACAAGAAAGGAAAAGGAAAAAAAGAGGGGGTTTGTTGTTGTTTTTTAAATATTGGTCCGACTTTTAACAGCGAGCTGGAGGCTACTCAATTTGGTGGGTGGAAGAACTACAGATGAAAAGAGAAACCGAGAGAATATTATAGGGAAGACATTGGGTAAAGAAATGATGGATTTCTTGTCTACATAAAAGGAAGGGAAGGGAGGTGGGGGAGTATATTTGGCTATCTGTGTACATTTTACCTCGGAATGGCACGGGAGGGTTTGGTATGACCTCTTTGGAAGACCCCCACATCTTTTAAAAACGACAGCAGCAGAGATCCAACTGCTGAAGCACGGAAGCTTCATTGGAGAATCTTCTCTACCCCTCTCACCTTATTAGTAAAATCTATCCTGATGTAGGAACAGGAATGTGAAAACAAACAAAGCTGGGCCTTCCGAAAATATTGTGTTTTGCGTTTTGTCTTGCTTGTTTGTTTTGCAAATCGCCACCTTTTCCCGAGAGAGTGTCCCCTGCAGAGGAAAGAGGGGTTGATTCGCGCCCCTTGATCACCTGCTGGCAAGAAAGGACAAAAAGGTTTGCCCATCCTATGCCCACTTCCTCTGGTGTAAGACCCATTGGACTCAATGGGACTTCCGGTTCGGTAGACATGTATAGGACCGCGCTACAAAGATTCAAGCTGCCTGGAGGAAGACAAGGAAAAGGATCGGGCCCGACTATTTCTAGAAATCGATCAAGACCTGTGGAGAAATGTTACCTGGTAGTTGACATGTTGATATCTTAGGAGGTAATGAGATGCCTGTTTGGGAGAAATCCACAAGGGGGTGCAGGTTGGATTAAAATAAACGAAGTCTCTTCCCGCCCCCAACACACACACTTTTTGTTGTTTCTGTCCCAAACTCCTGGTGGCCGAGGGAGGCTTTCTTTCACAATTTTCAGGCGTTCCTGTTTTATCATTGATTGTTCAGCCTGATTTGTGTTCTTTTCTTCCCCCACAAAGGACTCCAATTTGATTATCTGCACCATCTGCACTACAGACATCACTTCAATATTTCTTTAGCTAAGACAGACGTATAAACATATACAAATAGAACATAACATGTCTGTTCTACGAGGCAGTGTATTGTAAATTATGCACATCAAAAATTGTATATTATTCTTATGGAACTATTTTTTAAAGCTAAAACCTGCGAAACCTTTTGGCTGAGTCTTCTCCCGTCTCCCCGCACCCCCGTTTCGAGAGTTAGAATAGCTTCTTCTTCAGATGTGCGAACACGATCGCAAACATGTCCGCTTTCTTTTAATGGTTCCCTTGAAATCTCTTAGGAGAATATAAAAGGGAGAATCCCTTTTTTCTTTTTCTTTTAAAACGCACTTTGAACAGCATCGGTTTCATTTGTTGCGCCTTTTCCCCCCTTTCGACACAATAAAAGTCAAATTAATTGATTCATACCATTAATTACGGTGCTTAGCGTGAAAAGAAACGTTTCCCCTCGATTAGGGATCTATTGTGCTAATCTCTTGTTCAATCAGTGTTACCATCTGAAGGGGGGAAGGCGCAAGACGATAGGGTGGGGGCAGGGTGGGGGCGGTGCGGTGCGGTGCGGGATGGGATGGGAAGGGAAAAAGGGAACTGGGTGGGCGAGAACCGAAGCGATTTTAGCAAGAACAAGTTTGGGATTCCCTTGTTGGCGACAGTCGGACTTCTGAGTTTTAAGGCTGGGCGGCAGGCATCTCCTTCTGCAATTGATATCGGTTCACAGGAACCTTACGGGGGGCGGGGGGCGCCCTGCTGAGAGAGGACCTTGCCACCTGAACGTGTGACAATCTGTACTTTGGTGGTCACATCTTGTTTTAGGGACTACCTGCCATTTCCTAGACTCCCCCAATTAATACGAAAGTTCCTTTTATTCTAGCAAGCAAGGCATAGAAGGGTATCAAAAATAGAAATAGAACACATGAAGAATTCCCTACCTGCAAACGTTAATATGAGGAAGAATTAGATAATTTATAGTAGCAGGGAAGGCCAGGGAAAAGGGAAAGGAAGGACATCATAAGAAAAGATGAAGCCTAAGTTATGGGGTAGTCCATCTAACAGTGCTTGGGTGTTAAGTAAATTCTGTTTTAAGTCTAATTGGAATTTGTTCTTAAAACTCCACATCTTCCATCATCAGTGCTAAGATAAGTCAGGTTGTCAGGTGGGTTGTATGGGGGCTTTGAACCCTTTTATAATAATAATAAACTTTTGCAGCGCGGATGTTGGTAACCACCCAGTTTAGAAGAATTAAAGGTTACTGCCCCAGACTGAGGGGATGTGGTTGGCCTGAAGAAGAGATGCTTACCGTAGTGGAGGTTAAGGTAGATTCGTTTGTGTGTGAGAAAGAAAGACTGCAAGTGTGATATATACACACACACACACACAAAGATTTAGCAACGGGAGACAAGAAAACTGTACACTCCAGATCGATATGGAGTCAGATAGAGACATAACTAGCATCGGGGAGGGGTAGCGACGGGGGAGGGGGCAGAAGCCCGAACAACTTATGATGGTAGAGGAGAAATTAATTACAGCTCACTTTGGTACTAATATGACCAAGTGAGTGTCTGACCACGAAGCGAGTTAAAAATGAATCCAGAGACTAGGTGGGATTGAAGAAA